GAGCCCCCCAGTTGCGACTTCGTTTATGTTAGGAGACCAACGGGCATAGATCCCGTCTAGTTGGAGCGCCAAACAAGCGCTGTTGCGTGCCGGCCGTCGTTTCCCGTGCGGCCTGACCCGGGGGCGGAGTGCATGAGACTAACCAGCCGTATGCACCCGCCCCCCGCGCTGTGCTTCGGCCCTGGGCCCCCGGCTTTTCAGCCCACAGTGTAATCAACGTCATACATACATACATACATACATACATACATACATACATACATACATACATACATACATACATACATACATACATACATACATACATACATACATACATACATACATACATACATACATACATACATACATACATACATACATACATACATACATACATACATACATACATACATACATACATACATACATACATGATGCAAAGACAGACAGGCAGACAGAAATGCAGACCGACCAGCCAAGGCCGCCAAACGAAGAGCTGGCTGCGTGGCGAAGGTTCGCCGAATGAAATCCAGTGTGCATCACAAGACCGAAGCATAAAGCAAAGGAATCGTTGCAGCTTCCCCGGTGCCACCACCCAGTCCCTGACACACCCAATCAGCAACAGCATCAGCGGCAGTCACAGCAGCAGTAGCAGCAACAGCAGCGGAGCAGCAACCCCAACGTTTCGTCCCGAATAATTCAATCCACTATTGTAATCCCCCCTTTAATCCACAGTTTCCTGAACTAAGCAATCGATAGATCTCCTGCATTTAAGGCACCTGGTACCCCCGGCCCTGGAAGGAAGGCCTTAACATAGGAAAACTGGAAGTGTCACATTATCGCTCTGCCTGCACCAGCCGTCCTCCTTCATATGACTAGCCATGCAGAACGTGCGTCGCTAATGAAAGCGGCCAGGTCCTATTGGGACGTGAACAGGAGAACAGGCTTCAATACAACTTGGTAGTAAGGCCCGGGACTCCCTTTTATCAGGAAAAATTTCAGGCTTATCTTGCTGTTTTGGTGTTTGTTCGGCGTTCAAGTCGTTGCCTTTTGTGTGTTTGGCTATGTAAGGACCGGTCATACATTCTGCTATGCCGCGTTGACTCACGGGCTTGACCTTCTTACGGCCCCTCATACCTATTCTATGATCGATAATACTAAGTTCTGCACACTACGGAGCAATCTGGCAGCAATGGACGTTTTTGGCTGGAGGAATGAAAATGTACGGATCGGCGTCAATTCATTCCTTTTTTCCAAAGGCCAAAATGGCCTCTTTATTCCTTAAAAGTAATATATTACTTCAAAAAAACACTGCCCGGGAGAGGGGGAACGGCTCAAGTCCAGGGAGGACAGCTCTCGCGAGGCGCCCTCAGACAAATCCCAAGCTCTCTTCACCCCCAAGCTCTCTTCACCCCCAAGCTCTCTTCATCCCCAAGCTCTCTTCATTCCTAATAACCAACGCACTCATCGGTCAATTTGAGAAAATATTCTCCCCCCCAAACCCGGCCGTCAACCCAGCCACGCGCACTTGGCCCCCACTGCAACAGTTTTAAAGCCCATGCATGCATACTCGCACACTACCCACAGATGCACCAACCAACACATGTACGATGCAGTTCAAAACATGACTTCCATATATTTGTTCTTAGGCTCCATTTGCGGGCCATTGGGTTCCGATTATGCCTAGTTCGGTGGGTTCTGGCTCAGGTGCTTGATGGCTGCACCGCAACCGCAGCCTGGCGGGGCGTCTGCTGAGCTTGCATCTTAAAGCTTCAAGACTCGGCAAGCGCATGCGAATCTGCGGTGTAGTGGTGGTAGTTGTCCATGAAGCAGGTCATGAGCGGCTGAGTTCCCGGGAATGCGCTGCACAGCGCGTGCAGCAGCGGCAGTGCTACAAAGTCGTAAAACCCGACTTGGCTCTTGCTGACTCCCTGCTTGGCCCGGTCAAACAGGGGGCTGATGGGGATTCCCAGCTGCCGCTCCTTGTCGCCCTGGCGGAAAAACTCCTCCTCCAAGCTAGACAGCCACCTGAAGGTGGAGCGGGAGAGGGAGAGGGGAGAGAGAAGGGGAGACACACACACACACACGGGGAGACAGGGCGGTAAGCGGGAGGTAGGCGGCACATGTTACCTGCGCAGCATACATCACTTTGTCATGTCTTCTAACCCCCATGCACACATGCATTCACACCATAAACGTATGTACACCATAAATATTCAAGGTGAATATACATGTACACAACTCTATACATCCACACAAACAGACGCGGCCTCACCGCTTGTGCACTTCAAAGCCCTCCCCCAGGTGACCCAAATCCGCCGCCTTGATGACCATCTGCAAACTGAGCAGCCGCTCCGTCTCGTCCAACGGTTTCGGAGCCATGTCAAGCATTGACGGCGAGGCAATCGATACCGCAGGGAGCTCCAAGCTACAGAAAAGCGTACCGGGTCGGAAAAGGCGGGCCGGGGGATAGGAACGAAAGAAGACTGCTCTCTAACCAGCATCATTACCACCACGGAGGTGATGTGGGTCAGCCGGAGCCTACAAACAGCAGAATGTGCGGCTTTCCCCGCAGGATGCATAACTAATAATGAGGAGTCATAACAAGCCACAAGAGGAGTCATGTTGTAAGGAGTCATAGCGGGTAGGTTCATGCTGTTCCCTAATAGCCACCCAAAGGGATCTCCTAAAGGCGCCCCCGGAAGAAGAGCCCCATGCGACCACCCACCTGGCTTTACAGTCTGCGGATGTCGCCCCCACTGACCCTGAGGGCGGAGGGCCTCCTGCCACTGCCGCGGGTTTGTTGTAGCTAGCGAGCCTGTGGACGGTGCTGAAATGGCTAAGCAACGAAAAGTGCTGCTTCATGTCCGTTGCGAGCACCATTTCTATGACCTGCACCAGCGGTAGCGGCAGCAGAATGATAGCAATCATGACAATAAATTACTGCAACGGGACAGAGGGAGGAGGTCTTAACGAACAGCAACAAATGGTTGCAGCCCCTTAGCAACCCCTTAGCTCTGTGAAGCGGAGGTTGAGGGTGTTACGGCCCTGACTAGGCTCCGGCTGATCCGCATTGTTTGGCCTCGGCCCATACACACAGTGCTGGGTTATGAGGTTTATGTACCGTTGGGTGTTGAGTTATGATCCTTAAGGTTCGATTGCAACAGCATTCAATAACAAAAGCTTGCGAGCTGACCAGGAACTAAGTTGACGCGCCGTTGATCTGCTAGATTTGGTTGGATGCCGGTGGTGAGTTGCCAAACTCAAAGAGTACACTCTGAAGTCGGATGGGGTGAATGGCTTAGGGTGCCCCTCTAACAGGGGAGAACAGGGAATTGCCTCGGGAAGGAGGCCACTGGTGAAGCTTAACCACCCTGTAACAACATCAACAAAAGCAGCAGCAGCAGCAGCAGCAGCAGCAGCAGCGGCTGCGGCCATGGGAGGAAGGCAGCAGGAAGGTATAGCATAGACGCTGACTGGCGCGCGGTAAACTGGTATCAGAAAGGCAGGGGATCTGCGCCCTGCTATTACTGAGGGCAAGCAGCGGAAGAACCTAATGGTCGAAACCCAGAGCATGAAGCTCCGAAACCCATATTATAAAAAACCCAGCCCCGCACGCATAGCACTGAGCACATGGCACAGTATACCTGTTTTCTAAAAGTGGACTTCTGGTCCGTCGTCAGCGGCGCCAACACGTCTAGGCCCGTGCGGCGCATGCAGCTGAACGCCGCCGCTGCGTGGTGGTTTTCCAGCGGTGACTTGTCGTTGTACCTGACCGCCAGCGGGTCCGATGTGGCCACCAGGAAGTCGTTTGTGAGGCCCGGGTGCCCGTAGTCGTGAACGATCGCCGCAAAGTACGCCGCCAGCAGCCCCAGCTGGTCGAGGTAGTGCACGTGCAGCTGCGCGCCGTGGATGATGACGTGCAGGGTTTGGAGCACGTCCGCGGCGTGGGTGGCGTTGTGGTAGGGGTTGTCGTTGTAGCCGGCCTCGATGTGGCGAAGCAGCCTAGAAGGGGGGGCCGGGAGGAGTAAGAGGCGGCAGACCCGCGGACTACATGGGAACGCTCTCAGCCCTGGAGCCAAACCTCACTTTGACCTACACTCCGGTTTCGTCCAGCGGAATTCCACCGCAGGGCTCAGACCTTCAATCATCATCCATGTGACGGCCTCTTTTTTGAGGGTACAGACCCACGGGTCGGTATAATCGTAGTATTATTGTACCGCACTCGTCGGGGTTCCGAGGGGGCCCTTCCGCCACTTGTGCTCATGCTCGGGTATTTTATTTTCTGACCCATGGGTCAATCTTACCTGGCCACCTTAACGGGGTTCAGGCTGAAGTGCGCAATTAACCCGGCTCTTTGTATGAGGTAGAATCCCAGTGCCGAGAGCGGGTGGCCGTGTGTGATGTCGCGAAGTCGCCAAGTGTCAAACTGCCAGGCACAGGCGTTTGAGAGGAACCGTTCGACCTGTACGGGAGCGGGAGCAGGAGGTGAGGGTGGAGGTGGTGTGCAAGCGCGCCATATCCTTAAGGGTAGGCACAGGCGCAATTCGAGAGAGTGGGAGCGGCATCGTACGGTTGAGATGAAGCTGTAACAGCAATGTGTCAGCCCTCCTCCTTTCCCTCCTCTCCCCCAAGCTGGTCCGTAGAGAGGTCCAGCTCAAGGCCGTCACTGCGCCAGATCCACAGCCCTTCTGCACCCAGCACCCCGGGCTCGTCTAGCAGCCCTAGCCCTCTTGTCGTAGGCAGCCCTCTTCACCCCTCTCCATCCCTTCCTCCCGCACACCCCACCTCCTCAATCAGGGGGGGGGGTGGGGGAACGCTCGATGCTCGCAGCAGCGCCGACGCCCGACACGGGCCGGACCCCAGATGACTCCTCCGGCCGTTGACGGCAGCGCCGCCACATGGTAGGGTAAACATCGCTCGGTTGCCGCCAACCTCCAATCCCGTCCCGGACCTGCGGGCGACCACCGGCAGGCCTTCAGAACGCGGGCAGTCCGACACGAGGACCTCAGGTACCGACGCCACGGAAGCGACCGAGGCGCGGCGCGCCACCGCCGCTGCCGCCGCGGCAGCGGCGGGCGTCGGCGGCGGCGCCGCTGCTGCCGACACAATAAGCGCCAATCGACGCTCAAGCGCCGCCACATCTGTTTGAGTGCAGCCGTTGGCGGCTGTGAGAAGGCTGCATCGGCGTTGGCGGGAGCTGCCGGGGCGGCTTAGGATGTTCATGGCGGACGCGACGCGGCGTGGCAGGCGTCGTACGACAGAAAACGTGCCGATGCCCAACGTGCTGTCCTCTTGTGTCATGCTGGTTGCAGAGTTGGGTGTGAGACGGCCGTCGCTTTCGCCGCCACCGCCGCCGCCGCCGCCGCCGCTGGCACCAGGTGTGCCGCCGGCGGCGGCGATGGCGGCGGCGGCGACATCGAGGTCACTATGAGCCAGCGGCGGCGGCGGCAGTTCCACATCCCCCACATCGTCGTCGCGACTGAAGCGCCGTACCTGTTCCCGGAGCGCCAGGCTCGACCGCCTAACTGAGCCGCCTGGCGTCTGTCGCTGAAGTTGGTGATGGTGGTGGTGCCGCTGCTGGCGCTGGAATCGGCACAGCTGCTCATCCTCTTCTTGTACGAGCTCCATGCTGGCGCCAAGCCGGCATGAGCCGACGCCGACACCCATGCCGCCGCCGCTGCCGGCGGCGGCTAGAATGGGCGGGATTGCAGCCGCTGCCGCCGGCCCTGCCGAGCCACTGCCGCCGCCGCCGCCACCATCCCTTAGCAGCGACACCGCGCGGACCATGCCACCAAGCATGGATAACCTCGGGCTGGCGATGCTGCCCGCCTCGGTTTCGCGCGGGGGAAGGAATAAGGCTTCGGATCCGATCGGATCCCCTGACAAAGACTCTACCGGTTCCAAACGCCGTACAGCCGATACCGCCACTGCCGGTGCTGCCGTCAGCGCTACCGGCTGGGGCGTCAAGATGAACGCCAGCGCACCCGCCAGCGTCGAGCAATCTTGCTGAGCCTGACCGTGTAGCTGCTGCTGGGGCTGGGCGGGACTCAGACCCTTGCTGGTCAGGCTGCTGGCGGCGACGCGTAGCTGCGTGTAGTCCGATTCGCCGCCGTACAGGTGCGTGCTGCTGTCGTACGTGGATGTAGCGACCGTGGTGTTGCCGAGCTGTTGCATCAATGCGCGAGCCACTTCGTTCTGCACACACACACACATACATACATACAAACACACAACCTAAGAAAGTAAGAGGCAGGTCCCCTACTGAACCAACCCCAAGAAGATCGGGTGTGTGAGGAAAAAAGAAAACACGAAAGGTGCAGTTCAGGACAGGACAGGTGGACAGGACAGGACAAATCTAGGGTTTTAGGGTTTTACACTTTAGGGTTTTAAGGTTTTACAGTTTTAACAGGATATTATAGAAAAGGACATGACCTGACAGGACAGGGGCTCAATAGAGAGGTACGAGGCAGTACGTACGGATGCGGTACGGGGGTTCTCGTCCGTCATCGGCACCAACAAACGGCGCGACGCAGTTCAACGGCGCGCCGTTCTCCCGACCACGACGGGGATCTGGAGGTACACAACACTCGCAACGCACGTCTTCCACGACAAGGCATCAAGTACGGCAAATCCGTACACTCACGTCCAAGTTGGCGCTGCGGATGTGTTTCCTGAGATCCACGGGTTGATACAGGTCCGCGCCGCGGATGATCGCCTGGCGGATGAAGACCACATCACGGAGGTCGGGCATGCAGCCCTCCAAAAGCCGGGCCAACATGTTGAGTATCAAATCCGCGGGGGTCTCTGCAGCAGCGACGCAGGGAGGAAAGGGGGGGAAAAGACGAACCACGAACGAGTAAAGCTGGGGGAGGGGACGGGGGAAAAGCCACCAGAATTTTTTACTGTTGTCATTTGTTTGTAGGGACGCGACAACCCCTTTGGCATCATATCCCCTAAAGGGGAACTAAATGAAGCCTTATACTACAAAGTAGCTTGGAATTAATTAACAGTGAATACTTAGGGTTCCCCTCTTGTTGCCCTCTTTACATTACAGAGGTTGTTATTATCTCTATATTGTTATTGCATACTGCTCCAAGAAGATGAACCGCGAACGAGTGAAGCTGATGCCACGGAAAGACTGATGCGCCCGAATCAAGGCAGGCATAACTAACCAATTGGCGCCTGTGAAGAAGAAGTCCCCGCGATAATGTAGTAGTGATGATGATGTCGGAAAAACTACCTACCTAGCGCCAGGACTAAAAATGAAGTGCGGAAAGAGAGCAGGAAACCCATCCGTAACATTCTGAAGGTAGGTGTAAAGGCGGTGAAGCGCAAAAAGCTGGCGTGAGTTGAGAAAAAGGTGACATAGGTTGGAATAAATTGTGTTCGCCGGCCTGGCGGCGGAATTGAGAATTGACAGATAAGCTGGCTGATAAGCTGGTAATAAGCTGCCGGTGACATGCAATTGCTCCTCCCAAACCCCCAACCCGCCGCTGACCTGACCGACCCAACTATGCTAGCCCCGCTAGCCGACCGATACATGATGTGCAAGGACTTGACACACCACCTCCGCACGCAGGCACTGTAGGGCGCACATACGCAGGGAGCATGTAGGGAGCACGTACACGCACATACGCACGTACACGCACATACGCACGTACACGCACATACGCACGTACACGCACATACGCACGTACACGCACATACGCACGTACACGCACATACGCACGTACACGCACATACGCACGTACACGCACATACGCACGTACACGCACATACGCACGTACACGCACATACGCACGTACACGCACATACGCACGTACACGCACATACGCACGTACACGCACATACGCACCAGCCTGAACGATCCGCGACCCACACAGCCGCGATGCATCCGCGCCGTGGAGGTCCTTGATAACATGCCGCGGTAGGAGGGCCTCCAGCAATATCTGGTTCCGCTTCCTGAAACACACACACACACACACACACAGACACACACATATGCACGCACACACAGGGTTTCCGGGTTTCCTCTTGCTTAGTTAACCCCCACCCCAAGAGCCGGATCCGGCCGCGGATGGAGAGGAGTCTTGTTTGGGGCAGGGAGGAGGACCAGGATGTCACTAGAAGGCCCCAAGAGGCGTCCTTGCGAGTACACGGTAATGAACATGGGACGTAACTGGAAAGGCAACCAAGGGGAGAACAGGAAGCTGCCAAATCGTCGACAATGACGGCGTGCTCACCTGGACACCAGTGCCGCGAAGAGCAGCAGCGCCAAGGCCACCGCCACCGCCACCACACCAGCCAGTAGGCCCCCGCGATTGGCCGGACGCCAACCTCCGACCGGACAAACCCGCACCACCCACTGCGACCCAGACGGCGTCATGGAGAAGTGGATCGGCCGACAACACAAAACGTCGTGCAGCATGCAATCAGGACGTGGAGCATGCAAAAGTATTTCCGGGGGCTGCATACATACATACATACATACATACATACATACATACATACATACATACATACATACATACATACATACATACATACATACATACATACATACATACATACATACATACATACATACATACATACATACATACATACATACATACATACATACATACATACATACATACATACATACATACATACATACATACATACATACATACATACATACATACATACATACATACATACATACATACATACATACATACATACATACATACATACATACATACATACATACATACATACATACATACATACATAC